ACTCGGGAGTAAGGCTGCAAGGTAATGGCCCCTCCCTTAAGGGATAAAGCCAGCTGAGAAACCAGAGTTCTTTGCAGGAAGCAAAGAAGTTTTTTGCACTCAAGCCTTGTGGACGTTCGGAGTATCTTGGTTGGTGTTTGGAGACTCTGTGTGTGTGAAATATTTCTTGGCAACTTTATCTAGCATTCTTGGCAGCCTTGCACCACCTTGGCAAGGCTCATTCTTATCAGAGACAATTAGTTTGAAACAGCCTTTTCACCGGGAAGGAACAGAATTCATAAAGAATCATTAAAAGGTTTGGCTGTTACCTCCGATTCGTGTTTGTTTCCTTGAAACAAGGTTTGGGTCAGAACATCACGTCCAGAGAAGATCCCCCCAAGAACAAACTGGAACACGTCCAGAGAAAGATCCGCCGAAATAGTTCCAGGTTCTATCAAGCAAGGTGAAAAAAAGGACCTTAATCTGCAGGAGAGAAGATGGAGAGGATGGAGGTCTTTGGTAGCAATCAAGATCTCCCCTATATGGTTCCAACTGGTCAGTAGCTCAGTCATTGTTCTCATCAGATGCCTCCAGAAGGCCTTGGACTTCAGTCCCCAGAATTCTCAACCGATTAGAAGTTGAAGTCCCAGCGCAAGAAGAATGGATGTTAGTTTGAGAAAGGCTTCAGTAGATAGCTTCTTGTTCGTCTCCGGTTTCATTTTTCTTCACTACATCTTAGATCAAAAGCTCGGTCAGGTTCATCCAAGGACTAGTGGTCCAATTAAAGATCGTTTCTGGAGACCTGATGGAATATATGAACATCTGAATCTACTTAGCTTAGGTCAGGAGTTGTGATGACCCAAAGGGGCGTGGCACAAAGGCAACCCAGTCAGATAATCAGTAGGAGTCCCTTTATTCGCTCCAACTTTGCCCCCAATGTCCTGGTTACCTTCTGGGCTGGAGAAAAACTCTCCCAGGAACAGCCTTTGGCTGCAGAGAATCAAGTCCAAAACGTGGTCAACGAAAACTTTATAAGTCCAATCAAGGCAAAAGGAGGTAATTAGTCCAGGAGGGCAGGAGAAGGAATTCCAGATGTGAAGGCACGGCAATAACTCAACACAGGTTAGGAGGATGCCAGGAACACAGATAACCAAAACCAACACAAGATAAACTCAGGCTCTCATTCCCAGCTGTGGCTAATGAAGGGAATCAGGGCCCTTTCCTCCCCCGTAAGCTACCCAACTCACATTGCTCCCTTCTCAGTTCCTTCCTGCATGGCCTAGGATGAAGAGGGGGTGGGCCTGGGTCTTCCTCTGAACTCCCTCTCCCTTGTTCTACCTCTCTCCTGCTCTGCCCAGCCAGACTTTGCCCTTCCCCAGTTTCCTCCACAGCCAACGGAGCCACACTCCCGCTCCCTGTCAGCTGTTTATCTTCCTCCATGGATTCAGACTCTGACAGGGGCATGGCAGGAGTCTCCAAACTTGGCCACTTTTAAGCCTTGTGGACCAACTCAACATGGCTGGATGAGGAACAGTGGGAGTCGAAACCCACAAGTCTTAAAGTTGCCACGGTTGGAGATCTCTGGCTTAGGTGAAGATGAGCTAATTCCTTTCCCAACTTAATCTGGTTGTATGAACCCAGGCTGTTGTTCTCCCCTAACAGGACTCATTGACCCGGGTTTTCTTCGACCCCCTGGCCCAACACCGTGACTGGTGTCCGTGGGTCAACGAGGTGAAAGAAGCAACAGGACTTGGAACCAAAGGGGACTCCCTGGAGGAGAAGGCAGACCGTGGTTGGCAGGTGGTCCTGAAAGTTCTTCAGGCTTCCAGGCAGTCAGAAAAGCCAGCCCACCTGGAGTCCGAGGTGAGTCGGACCATCAGTGGTCATCTACTTGGTCTATGGCAGGAGTGTCCAGGCTTGGCAACTTGGGAGACTTGTGGACTTCAACTCCCAGAATTCCCCAGTTAAACTCCTCCCCCCACACACACCCTGGTTTCTGCCACTCCTACAGATCCATACTGTAAAATTGTAAACTGTCTAACACGGTACTAATTGACAAAGTTCAGATAACAGATAATCAGAGTTGGAAGGGACCTTGTAGGTCATCTAGTCCAACCCCCCGCCCAAGCAGGAGACCCTACCCCATTTCTGACTGAAGGCAGTCCAGTCTCTTCCTGAAAGCTTCCAGCGATGAAGCTCCCACAACTTCTGAATAACAGAATAATAACAGGTTAACAGAAGTCGGAAGGGACCTTGTAGGTCATCTAGTCCAACCCCCTGCCCAAGCAGGAGATTACACCATTTCTGACAGAAAACAGTCCAGTTTCTTCTTGAAAGCCTCCAGGGATGAAGCTCCCACAACTTCCGAGGGCAACTTCTGTTCCATGGGTTGGTTGTTCTCACTGTCAGAAAGTTTCTCCTTATTTCCAGGTTGAATCTCTCCTTGTTCAGTTTCCCTCCTTTTTTCTTTGTCTGGTGCTTTGGAAAATAGCTTGACCCCTTCCTCCTCTCTGGGGCAGCCCCTCAAATGTTGGAAGACTGCTATCCGGTCTCCCCTGGTCCTTTTCTTCCCTAGACTAGCCAGGCCCAGTTCCTGCAACCGTTCTTCATATGTTTTAAGTCTCCAGTCCCCTCATCATCCTGGTTGCTCTTCTCTGCACTTTTTCTAGAGTCCCAACATCTTTTTTATAGTGTGGGGACCAAACCTGGATGCAGGACTCTAGGTGTGCCCTTACTAAGGCTTTATAGAGTGGTATTAATACCTCCCTTGATCCTGATTGTTTCCCTGTGCAACTTAGTTCATCCAACTTCTTCCAATCCAACTCTGGAAGGTACATCAAGAACCGGTTAGGTGCTGTCTTCTGCAGATGCAGGTCCCAAAGTTGGATCAGAAGGATTTGGATGGATTTTGGTGGTCATTTACTTCAGCATTTCTCAACCTTGGTGGTACTTGAAGACACGTGGACGACAATTCCCAGAATTCCTCACCCAGCCTTGCCTAAGGTGGGACTGGAGCTCACCATCTCCTAGTCAATAGTCCAAAGACACCCAGCCAGATTTCATCCATAAGGTGAGAGTAGAACTCACCCGGTGATTGGGCCAAAGTCATCTAGTCAGCTTCCATGCCTAAGGCAGGGTTAAAATTTACAGGCTCCTAGTGATTGGCCAAAAATCATTCATTCATCTTTTGCATCTAAAATGGGCCTACAACTCGACATCTTCTAGTGATTGGCCCAAAGTCACCCAGCTAGCTTTCGGGCCTAAGGTGGGACTAGAACTCAACGTCTCCCGGTGATTGGCCCAGGGTCATCCAATCGGTTTTCATGCCTAAAACGGGACTAGAACTCACTTTCTGGTGATTGGCTCAAAGTCATCCAGCCACCTTTCATGCCTAAAGCGGGACTAGAATTCACAGTCTTCCTGGTCATTGGCTCCAAATCATCCAGCCAGTTTTCTTTTTCTCTTTTTTTTAAAGAAAACTTTATTAGCGATTAAAAAAGAAAAAACAGTATATACAAAACATTGAATACAACTTAACATTATAGACAAAATTGATACATACAAATACAATATAAATAAACATACAGAACGTATAAAACTTCTATATGCTTCTGATCAACTAAGATGGTGTGCTTTCTTCTTGGTAATGATTTTACTACTATTCATTTCTTATTTGGTAAACATTCTTCATTTAAGTACTCCATTCATCAAAGACAGATCTTTTAAGTTCCTAGTTTTTTCTCTTTAATCCACTTATACCATTTATCCCAAGCTGTGATATATCTTGAGTCATCCTTATTCCTAAGTTTCAGTGCAGTCAAATATTTTCTGAGTAATCCAATTCTTTGTTGGGATTTGTTCGCCTTTCCAACATTGTGCCAACGCAATTCTTGCCACTGTGATTATATGGAGAATTAAGTATTTAATTTCATTTGCATAGTCCCCTTTTAACATTCCCAACAAAAACATTTCAGGTTGGAATTCTAACTGAATACTTGTAATTTCTTTTATCCACAGTCTATTTTTTTTTCCCCAATATTTTTTACTTTTTGGGCAGAGCCACCAAGTGTGGAAGAAGGTGCCCCTCGTTTGCTTAGATTTCCAACACTTCGGACTCATATTTGGATAAATGTTAGCTAACCTTGAGGGTGACAGATATGACCGGTAACACATTTTGTATCATCTCCTGGTGGTTGGTCCAAAATCATCCAGCTGGCTTTTCATGTCTAAGCCAAGACTAGAACTCCTTGTTTCCTGGCGATTGGCTCAAAGTCACTCAACTGGTTTTCATATTTAAGGCGGGACTAGAACTCCCCGTCTCCTGGTGATTGGCCCAAAGTCCCCCAACCGGCTTTAATGCCTAAGGCGGGACTAGAACTCCCTGTCTCCTGGTGATTGGCCCAAAGTTCCCCAACCGGCTTTAATGCCTAAGGCGGGACTAGAACTCCCTGTCTCCTGGTGATTGGCCCAAAGTCCCCCAAACGGCTTTAATGCCTAAGGCGGGACTAGAACTCCCTGTCTCCTGGTGATTGGCCCAAAGTCACCCAGCCGGTTTTCATGCCTAAGGCAGGGCTAGAATTTCCCGCCTCCCAGTTTCTCTAGCCTGCTGCCTTCACCATAGACCAAACCGCTTCTCTCGTAACATTTCTTTGGCATCCGTGTCGCTCTACTTTCTCATTTGTCCCTCTCTTCCCGGCCGCAGAGTCTCTCGACCAAATCCCGCAAGGTCTTCCAGATTTTCCGCCAGTGGGAAGCCGCCTGCTCCTCCTGAAGACCTGCCGACAGCATCGGGACGGTGCAAAGTGGGCACAGCAGAAACATGACCCATTCGGTTAGCAGGAGGGACGTTGTGTAAGAGAAGAAGAGACCCAGGGAGGAATAATTACCTACCACCTCGCCGTGGCAAGTCTCACCCTCTTCCCCCATCCACGGACAGAAGCATGGGGCAGTCGCCCGCCTCCCACCAAAGAAGAGGCCTTACCTGCGGTGCGGATCCTGGGAAAAAAAATCCTTCTGCCCTTTCAAAGGCGGGCAGGGACACCCGAGCATTTGTGAAACCCTTGCGCCGGTTCCCAGTTGCCGGGAGGCCTCCAGCAGCTGAACCCCGAGAAATTCCCATTTTTAAACTGAACCAGATCTGTTCAGCAACAAGGTCGAGAAGATCCCTTCCCACGGGATCTCTTGGGTTCATCCTCGGAGCTGAGTTCGGGTCTTGGCTTCCTTCCTCCTGCCCCTCTTCAGGGTGTGTGTGTGTGTGTGTGTGTGTGTGTGTGTGTGTGTAAAATTTGTTGGGGGAGACCTGATTGGACATTCTCATCACCAGCACAAATATCGGCCCCTGGCACTCCCTGCTGGGGTCGGACACCCCCCCACCCTCCCACCCCCGGTTAACGTGCTTCGCATGAAAATCCTTTGACTACCCGAGGATTCAAATATGAGTAGAAATCCTGGCCTGCTTGGGGCAACTAGGATGGAAATGGAACAACTTGTTTGACTTCTTATTTTTAAGAGGGAAAAAGAGAAAGCTCTCCCAGAATTCCCTGTGACGATGTTGAGTCTCTCATCTGGCCAAAACATAATAATTTGACGCTCCTTCCCTGTTTCATCATTTGAAAGATCGAAAAATTGCTTTTCCTCCGCAGACAGGTGGGAAAAATTGGAGAGAGCTTGCCTCAAATCAGGGGTGTCCAACGTTGTCAGCTTTTAAGGCTGGTGGACTTCAACTCCCAGAATTCCCTTAGCCAGCTTTTCAGGATGGCCTTCAACTCCCAGAATTCCCCAGGCAGCTTGGCTGGCTGAAGAATTGTGGGAGTTGAAGTCCGCCAGCCTTAAAAGTTGACAAAATTGGACACACCGGCCTTAAATACTAAGTTGTGTATGTGGGCAACCCCCTAAAACATCAGAGGTGGTAGATATACAATTGAGAGCTGTTTGACACCTGGATAAGAAGCCCATTTCATGCCTAGCTGGACCCCTTGATTAAGAAAAACCCACGTTCTAATGTTTTGTGCGATGTTTGTATAAAATAAATAGCAGAATCCAGGCCTATTTATTTGGCGTGTTGTGATGTGTGTCTCACTTTTCTCCCAGGAGCTGTGGGGCTGGCTAGGCAGAGAGAGGGAAAATTCAGAAAATCATCCAGTGGCTGAGGGTAGATTTGAATCCAGATCTCCCTAGACTTAGTCCATCATTTTTGGCGCTGTGCTACTATCTCATGCCGGGGTAGAAATTATGAAGGAAGCAATGAAAACCAAAAAAATGTTTCATTTCCCATCCAAGAAGCTTCTTCAGTTCTGATCAGAACTTTTTCCAGAAAGCAACTAGACATTCTCGGTTGTTTTTCTTTGAAAA